CGCTTTGTGCGAGTTCGAGGGTTGCTCTGTCCCCTTGTCTCAGGGTGACTCTCATTGTTTTTGCCTCCGTCTGCTGCCTGTGGGGTCGGTGGCACCTTCGACCCGGAGTCCTGCGAGTTTCGTTGCTTGTTTGTGACTCGGTTACCCGGTCTTATGCTGACTATGCGGGTGCAGGCAGCACGGGCATTGCACGTTGGGTTCAGGTGGTTGCAACGTGCTAGGTTGTTTGCTCCCCGGAAGCCCCGAGGCTGCCCCGTTTTGGTTGTTGTGATGGGGCTTGGGGGTGTTGGTTGCTTCGGTTTTGTTCCTTCCTCGCCCCCCTTCCTTGTCTTTCCCCTGTTGTGATTTCGTCTGGTCCCCCCCCCCCCCCCTTCCTCCCTGCATCCAGATCCTTTCCATCTGTGGGTTCGAGGCGGGGATTCGATGGTCTTGAGACTCGGGCGGTCTCGGGGGTTTCCCCTTCCGGGGTAGCGACAGAGGCATTCGAGCCTGTTCCTCCAGCCGGGTTGTATGAGTCTGCCAGTGGGCTCCCTTCCTTAGTAATTTTCCGGCTGCCCCGGCTTTTTCTTGTGAGGCTGGGGCTTTGGGGGGAACGGCTCGGCCTCAAGGCCTGCCGTGGCGGTTCCCGGGGTTAGGTAGGGGCTTACTTGGGGGGACCTCGGGCCCTGTTAGACCCTGCCGGGGTTTTCTACCCTCTGAGCGGGGCTTGCGGTTACGGGAAGTGGGGTTTTTCCTTCCCCCCTCTGCGTACAAGTTGTTAAGCATTGGCCCCTCCCCGGGTTCGGATTCTTGTCCCTTCAGGTCCGTTCGGTTTCGTCCTATCGGTGGGTACTTTTCTCCATTTTAGCCCTTTTCTCTGGGATGGGACTTCTCCATCATGTTGGGGTCATGTTCCCCTGTTATTGGGGTTCTGCATGACTTTTGGTCTCGGGTGCGACTGTGCCTTTATGAGCCTTCGTGATTTTGTTTGCTTCTGTGAGATCTCGGGGGTTCGGGAAGGTCTTCGATTCTTCCCGCATTATTGGAACATCTGTCGTCTTCCGGTGAGGCTTACCTCCAGTCCTTTTTTGGACTCGTTGGTCCTCTTCCGTGCTTCTTCTTGGTTTTCGATACTGTCTCGTTCTTTTGTCATTATATCTTCTCTCGGTGCTCTGTCTAGGCACTGCTAATATTTTTGCAATACTCCTTGTTGGCGCCCTCCCCGCTGGGCGGGGTTGTGCGGTTCGGACCTCATGCGTCCTGCGCATGCGCCGTGGGAGTTTGTTTTGTTCTGGACGGTGTACACAAGTGCTGGTGTTCCGCGTCCTTATTCTCTCGGGTTCTTTGCTCCTCTCGTCTCTCCAGTCCGTGCCCCGTAGATGCTGGGGGTGTTCTGGATTGCTGCTATGGGGAGGTTGCTGGGTTTTCCTTGCATATGGGTGTGGGGCACCTCATTCGTCTCTACCCTACTCTTCTCCTACAGGTGCGGCTCTGGCCTTCTTCCTCAGGCGGTGCTCCTGGCATCTTCTCGGCTATGTTGTTTCCGTGATGCGTTAGTGCCTACATTCTGCAGGTGAGTTTATGCGGTCTGGCGTCTTTTTCGGCCAGGCGCTGGTTTTTGGATACCAATATAAGAACATAAGAACAAAGGTGACTGCAGAGGGCCTATTGGCCCATACGAGGCAGTTCCTATTTATACCCATCCGGTCCCACTCATATACATGTTCAACACATGCTTGAGTCAATCAAGGGGCCCCACCTTCACCATGTTACGAGGTAAAATGGTGGAGGTAAATGTTATGGGGTAAATGTTACACTGGGTCAGGATGTTATGAGGTGACATTTTGCTGTAGTTTTGATACTGGGGATGAGTGTTGGGGTTTGGTTGTGGCGTTTTGTTTGGCCCTGGCGTGCTTCTTCCTGGGGCCTTCCTTGTTCGTCTGTGTTGTTTGTTACACGGTGGGTCACGGCCCCGTTTTTCGTGGTCTTATCTGGGTCACTCTTTCCTTGCCCGTCTTGCAGTGCCTGGCTTAGCCCTTCCATATACATTGGATTCTCTGTGCTCACCTAGTTGTCCTTACCTAGCTGTGCTTGCAGGGGTTGAGCTCTGGCTCTTTGGTCCCGCTTCTCGGCTGTCATTCGCCTGACATAGACATGGCCTCTGTGTTGTTGGTCCTGTCCCTTTCGTTCCCGTTGCTGCCTGTCTTCCTCGTTCCTCATCTTCCTTCTACGCTCGTGTCCCTCGCTGCTGGTGCTGGGGCTGTTTTTCTAGTCCGTATGGCTTGTTCTCCTGTATCCGCTTCAGGTCGATTGACCTGCGGGGTAATATGTGAGGGGTAGTTGGATTGTTTTGCACGTTGGTTTCTCATCAGGGCTTAACATCTGCGAGAAGCCCTGTACAAGTTAGTTTACGCTTGTTTGTGTTGTGCTAACTAAGTGTCAGGGGATGTAATAGTTCTGATGTTACCTCGCCCCTCTCGTTACTCCTTGTTGTGTGGTTTAGTATGTGCTTCTTGACACCTACTGCTGCCTTGCAGTTACCTTCCAGTGTTTCCGGGGCTTGGCGTCCCCGCGGCCTGGTCGTCGACCAGGCCTCCTCGTTGCTGGACTGGTCGCCTAGGCTGTTTGACACGGCTGCTCGCAGCCTGATGTCTTACAGCTTGGTTGTTCAAGTATCCTTTGGAGGTGTTGATATAGTTCTTTCTTGGTCACTGTGAAGGGTCAGCCTGTTTTGCCCCTTATGTGTTATGGCGGTGTGTTGAACAGTCTCGGGCCTCTGATATTGCTGGGGTTCTCTCTGAGTAGAGAGGCTAGGTTGGACTTTGTCCATGTTCAGTTCCCTGCTTTTGCACCGCCCCTATGTTTGGTTCTTTCCCAGCTTGCCAGGTTTGGGTTCCTGGTTTCCTGGCTTACCCTGCCAGTTGGCATTTTCCGGATCTCGCGGTGTCACTTCTCACGAGTCTCGCATCGGAACCACAGTGTCTCCGATCTCCTGGCGAGCTCGCTGGCATTGGGAAGTTTTCTGTATGGCAGACGTTCCTTCTCATTCCTTGCCGGCTTGGGTTCTGGCTCTGCTTGCTCGGTGATCGCACCCGAGGTTTTCCCACGGCTCTGCCTCTTCCTATGCTCGGTCAGTCCATGGCGGGGCTGGTTCGGTTCTGCCTCAAGTATCTCACCATCTGTTGGTGGTCAGGTGGCTTCGTTGATGGTGTCCCACCTGTGTGCTTCGTCTTGGCGGCGGTGTGGGGTTTTCTTTGGTGGTCTTTCCTTTTTCTTTCTGTCCATTTGTTGGTTTGCTATGTTTTCTTGGCGTGGTCTGGTCCTTCTCTTGTGGAGGTTTAGGGCCATCATCTTGCCACATATTGTTGCCTTGTCTTGTGCAGCGCTGGCGGAGCCACTCAGGATTGCTTCAGTTTTGAAAGTTGCCTCGGCACCGCTTCGTGAGTCGTCTCTGGCATGGTTCACCTCCGGCCTGCTCTTGCGCCACTTGAGCCATCCTGGTTCTTGGATTGCGTGCTCTTTTCTCTTCTCGGTTTGTGGTGGCCCCTTCGGTTCCGAGTTGTTTTCCGAGGCTCTTTTCTTGTTGGCGTTGGCCTCTGGGGGTCGGGTTGGAGTGCTTCATGCCCTCCTCCGGCACCTGGGTTTCGGCTCTTTTGGTTCTCCTGATAGGTTTGTTCGCTTGCGGCCGTCTCCTTCTTTTCTGGCGAAGACTGGCATGGCTGCTTTCTGGAGGGGTCCTTGGGTTGTTTGATGCTTGGTTGGTCTGGCCGGGGATGCATCATGTGTTGTGTTCGGTTGCGCCGTGCTTGGCGTGCCACGGCTGCCGTGACCGGGGTCCTGCTTTGGGTTGTTCCGAGTTCCCCTCTTCCCTGTTCCAGGGTGTGGTTCTCTCGGGTCGTCCGCAGGGTGGTTCGGTCCTGCCAGCCTGCTGTCTGTCCCCGTGCCCATGTCGTTCGTTGGTTGGCTCTGCGTTCCTTCGTTGATGTTCCTGGGCCTTGTCGGGCCTGTGTGGCCTTGGGTTGGCAGTTGCAGTTTTTGTCTCCGCTTTGCATTGGGGGTGTGCATCTTCCGCCTCCCGGGTTAGGTCCCTCTTGTTTTCGTCTTTGGGTAGGTAGCTCCTGGGAGCCGACGGGGCTCCCCCCAGAAAACCAGCGTTGAATGTAATGAAATGCCATTTTCTGGGTGAGACCCGGAGGCTCCCCGGCAACCCTCCCTCCCCTTGGTCGGCGGTTTTTCGCGTGTTTTGATGTCCAGCCTCAGAACTGAAGGGTGGATGGCCGGCGCGGGGGTCTGGGGCTCCCCCTTCCCCCTACCGGGGAGGGGGGAGCTGCGCAGACAGCGGCGCGGCAACGTGTGACGTCATACTCGTTTGCCCGTTTCGGTTTGGGGAGTTCTATCCACTTGTTCGGCTTTTCGTCGCAATTTTCACCAGAATAGGGGTTTGTTTTGGGACGCTTACCTTTCTGGGTGCCTGACCCGGTCGATGGCAGACATAGAATGCTTCCAACCACACGGGGGTTTCTATAGGCCATTGCTCCTCGTGCCTCTTCTGAGGGGGCCAGGTTCTGGCTCGTGGTCCCCGGTAGGCCCACAGAACTCCATACACATGACTGATGCCAAAGTCTGACATTAGCATATCAGCCTGGATAAGCTCCGGGGAGCCTCCGGGTCTCACCCAGAAAATGGCGTTTCATTACATTCAACGCTGGTTTTTTCAATGGGTCCCTTGGACTTACAACCGAGGAACCCAAGTTCATTCCCCAGGCAGGACAGAAATGATTTTGTGCATTTTCTTGACCTGATGCCTCTGTTCACCTAGCTGTTAAATAGATACCTGGGCGTCAGGCAACTGTTGTGGGTTGTCTGGGAGGGGGGTGGATGGGGAACCTCAATAAGCCTAAGTACAGCTTCCTGACCCCAGATAGTGGGAATTAAAAGATTGAAATTATTTTTCATTCTGCATGGTATGTTTCAATTTTGAGAGTCTTTAATAAAGTACTGTATTTAAATTTTAATTTCAGTTACAAACAAAACTGCACCAATGAGTCTTAGATACAACATTGGTGATATTATTATTATCATCAATGTTGTAGAAATATTTGTTGATACAAAGAAATTGTCATGAACAAGTATAAGGATGTGGGTGGTTTAGTCTACCTGTGATGTGGATGGTCTGGTCTACCTGTGATGTGGATGGTCTGGTCTACCTGTGATGTGGATGGTCTGGTCTACCTGTGATGTGGATGGTCAGGTCTACTTGTGATGTGGATGGTCAGGTCTACTTGTGATGTGGATGGTCAGGTCTACTTGTGATGTGGATGGTCATGTCTACCTGTGATGTGGATGGTCAGGTCTACCTGTGATGTGGATGGTCAGGTCTACCTGGTGTGGATGGTCAGGTCTACCTGTGATGTGGATGGTCAGGTCTACCTGTGATGTGGATGGTCAGGTCTACCTGTGATGTGGATGGTCAGGTCTACCTGTGATGTGGATGGTCTGGTCTACCTGTGATGTGGATGGTCTGGTCTACCTGTGATGTGGATGGTCTGGTCTACCTGTGATGTGGATGGTCTGGTCTACCTGTGATGTGGATGGTCAGGTCTACCTGTGATGTGGATGGTCAGGTCTACCTGTGATGTGGATGGTCAGGTCTACCTGTGATGTGGATGGTCAGGTCTACCTGTGATGTGGATGGTCAGGTCTACCTGTGATGTGGATGGTCAGGTCTACCTGTGATGTGGATGGTCAGGTCTACCTGTGATGTGGATGGTCAGGTCTACCTGTGATGTGGATGGTCAGGTCTACCTGTGATGTGGATGGTCAGGTCTACCTGTGATGTGGATGGTCAGGTCTACCTGTGATGTGGATGGTCAGGTCTACCTGTGATGTGGGTGGTCAGGTCTACCTGTGATGTGGATGGTCTGGTCTACCTGTGATGTGGATGGTCAGGTCTACCTGTGATGTGGATGGTCAGGTCTACCTGTGATGTGGATGGTCAGGTCTACCTGTGATGTGGGTGGTTTAGTCTACCTGTGATGTGGATGGTCAGGTCTACCTGTGATGTGGATGGTCAGGTCTACCTGTGATGTGGATGGTCAGGTCTACCTGTGATGTGGATGGTCAGGTCTACATGTGATGTGGATGGTCAGGTCTACCTGTGATGTGGATGGTCAGGTCTACCTGTGAGGTGGATGGTCTGATCTACCTGTGAGGTGGATGGTCTGATCTACCTGTGAGGTGGATGGTCTGATCTACCTGTGAGGTGGATGGTCTGATCTACCTGTGAGGTGGATGGTCTGATCTACCTGTGAGGTGGATGGTCTGATCTACCTGTGAGGTGGATGGTCTGATCTACCTGTGAGGTGGATGGTCTGATCTACCTGTGAGGTGGATGATCTGGTCTACCTGTGAGGTTGATGGTCAGGTCTACCTGTGATGTGGATGGTCAGGTCTACCTGTGAGGTGGATGGTCTGATCTACCTGTAAGGTGGATGGTCTGATCTACCTGTGAGGTGGATGGTCTGATCTACCTGTGAGGTGGATGGTCTGATCTACCTGTGAGGTGGATGATCTGGTCTACCTGTGAGGTTGATGGTCTGGTCTACCTGTGAGGTGGATGGTCTAGTCTACCTGTGAGGTGGATGGTCTGGTCTACCTGTGATGTGGATGGTCTGGTCTACCTGTGAGGTGGATGGTCAGGGCTACCTGTGAGGTGGATGGTCTGGTCTACCTGTGAGGTGGATGGTCATGTCTACCTGTGAGGTGGATGGTCTGGTCTACCTGTGAGGTGGATGGTCAGGGCTACCTGTGATGTGGATGGTCTGGTCTACCTGTGAGGTGGATGGTCAGGGCTACCTGTGAGGTGGATGGTTTGGTCTACCTGTGAGGTGGATGGTTTGGTCTACCTGTGAGGTGGATGGTCAGGGCTACCTGTGAGGTGGATGGTTTGGTCTACCTGTGAGGTGGATGGTTTGGTCTACCTGTGAGGTGGATGGTTTGGTCTACCTGTGAGGTGGATGGTCAGGGCTACCTGTGAGGTGGATGGTCAGAGCTACCTGTGAGGTGGATGGTCTGGTCTACCTGTTACCATAATGCAATAGCTTGTCACTATCTCGGATATGAAGGCCTTGTACAGTGGCACGTGGATTACTCCTTCAAGAACGCGTCGTGGTTACCTATGTAGACGTGCACGACGTATAGGACTTTTTTTCTTAATTAGTCTGTATGGCTGAATGTCAGGAAATGACTAACATACTGCGGTGGAGCGACATTTTAGGGAGCAGCTCACTTATATGTTTATTCTTTCAAATTCTCTCCCCACAGACAGCGTTTGTTTAGTGTGTTATGTCGCCACGGGACATCTCTCCGTGTTTAGTTTGCCGAGTTTGCGTCAGTTAATTTACGTTGACTTCCTACCCCTTGTTGACCTCAGGTAAGTGAAGCGGCACTGGCGGAGGTAATATGGCTCTCAAGCATTATTTGAACCTCTTATGTGTATTGAATTGTTATGATTTACAGCTGTGTGCGCGTGTATGATATACTATGTGTGTATATAATATATATGTGTATGTGTAGACACACACACACACACACACATACATACATACATACATACATACATACATACATACATACATACATATATATATATATATATATATATATATATATATATATATATATATATATATATATATATATATATATATATATATATATATATATATATATATATATATATATATATATATATATATATATATATATATATATATATATATATATATATGGTGATTTTTGTCACTATATAGTGATTAGACCTTTAGACAAATGATGACTGTCACTAGACAACAATGTGAAGTATGTCACTAGACGACAACCATCAATGTATCTTTGGACAAAAACAGTCACTACGAAAAGAATCTAAAGTATTATTAAATAGTTTATGCTAGCCTCACCCAATTTATATCAGTAATTGCTGTTGGGTACATGCCCAACACGGTTGGATCGGGGTTGGCATAAATAAAACGAGTGCCTCTTGACATGGTACCAAGACTACCCCTTTGACTTATTTTGCAATATGTAGGGTGGGCATTTTAATTATCGTACAAAGATAATTTTTTATTGTGCAATTAAAAATAGATCCAAGTTGTACAGTTGTAAAAGTATTTTCAATAGAAACATTATTAAATCTACTCTCATACAACATGAATATTAGTAATGGTTTGTATAATTTGGATCTATTTTTAATTGATCAATTAAAAAAAATGGTCATTGTACGATGTACAGATATATAATCAGGGATAGTGCTTCCCGGAACACATGTATCAGTCATCAGGGATAGTGCTTCCAGGAACTCACATGCGTGTGAAAGACCTCCAGGAACTGATACAAATAAAGGATCCACTCGCTCAAAACTCAGTGCTTAACTTTGCCCATGAAATAGGCCTCAATAGTACTCTCACTTTCTTGGTGTCGTCATGAGCACTAAAGACAACATCTTCCCCACGGAAGTTTATACTAAACCCACCAACATTGGAATGTGTGTGAATTGGCACAGCGAATGCCCAGCCTCGCACTCAGGCTGCAAGCGGCCTTGTCCAACAGCCTGGTTGACCAGTCCATCAAGCAGGAGGCCCTGGTTGGGGACCGGGCTGCGGGTTTGGACATTGAGCCTCGAAATTATCGCAAGGTAACCGCAATGCGACCCTAGGATGTTAGTGATGGCTCTCTATCGTGCTTTCCCTGTTTCCTTTTGCTTCTCTGAATCTACTCTCATAAAAGGAAAGTTTAGCTATTCTTATCTTGTAAATGAAAAAAAGACCCACTATGAATATTTATACTGTACAGAATAATGACTTCGCTTCTTTAACACTCGGATCTGGACCTCGCCAAACATCACAGGATAATGACGTTTTTAAGGACCTCAAAATATAGTTAGAAATGTTTTACAATATAGCAAGAAAAATAAATTATAGATAGAAATAAAATTATTCCAAGTCCAATTAATATGATATAAAAGTCGATGTTAGCAGGTGGTATCATTAGCACCATATCAAGAGGCTCTGGTTTCATTTATGCCAAATCCCCCCCCCCCTTCCCCAACCTGCCCCTGTTGGGCATAGATCCAACAGCAATTACTGTCTGTCTGTCAGACAGACATACTCTAGTTTATGTATATGTATGTATGTATATACACATATACATGTTGTTATATACATAAATGCATAGGCCACATCTAATAGCCAGAGTCTATTAGGTGTGGGATACACATTAGTTAATGTGTCTAACAAGACACACTTTCCTGGAACATAAATTTAATATTTTATTCTTGTGGATTGAGAGTTTCATTGAATTATACATGATAGTTTATTTTATTTTCGTCAAAACTAACATAGAAATTTAACAAACCCTTACCAAACGTAACATAACTTAATCTAACAACACTGGGTTAGTAATTTGTGTTCCTAATATAATATATTATGTTTATATGAATGAATCAATCTGGAACAAAATCTCTCTACCTGCTATGCAAATCAAATCAGGCCTTACTTACTAGGCAAAGTATTTGGGGTTCTGGCCATTAGGAGATACATACACATGTATATATAAGTCCATAAATATACACACACTTTATATCATACCTTCATATATATCAATTGTATAAATACATAATCTTTTATTTTATTGGTTTAAGTGGAATTAGAGTTTTATTAAAAAACTAGCTCCTTGCATCTCTTTTTAACTGTAGGCTCAAGAAAGTTCTCTGCGGCTGTGTGTGTCTGGCTAACAGATTTTCAGTTCGTTTTCCATATATTTAAGTTTTTGTTTTTTCCAAAATTAGTGCATATGGCTTTCTTGCCTCTTACTAATGTCATTACTAGTATGAGTTCACGAGCGTTTTGAGTCCTAGAATGCGTTTTGGTGAACATAGAGTAGATACATATATATTATATATATTTTTGTTTATAGTCTTGTCAAATAGCTCTTCCTAATACCATCAAGTGAGTATTGCAATAGGTTTAGTTACACTTGCACATCTCGCGCACATTCGCGCACACACAGCCAAACATTTACACTCCCTGCATACGTGGCCCCATTAATTTCATCATTGCATATGTCTAGCCTCTAAAAAATGAGATGTACGGAACTCATCAAGACAATTTTTATGTAGATTACTAGCATTTACTTTTATTTAAGGTATATATATGTTCTCTTTTGTACAGATTTTATATGAGGGCTCATTAACAACATGTTTTTACGTGTACAATTTTTATATGAAGGCTCATTAACTCTTTATTATATAATTTACCTTTTCCATTTTTTCTACATTTTACGTCTATTAAATAGCTTTAAATATTTTTTTGATATTTTTTGAGGCAATGAATAGGCATATATCCTTTGCTCATATTTACCTTCAGACTAGATTTCGGAATTATCCGGCTTCCTTCCATTTAAGTCACTAGTGTTGGTATGCTCTCAGTATTCTGGACCTCAAGTCAGCCATGTTGTTCAGTGCAGCTAAGTATGTAAATAGTTTTTCATATGTATGGATGTATTTAGTAGATATTCAATTTAAACTCGTGCAACTTTTCACTCTTTATGAAGAGACGTACAATATGTCTTAAAAAAAAAAATTACGTTGTACTGTATATACTTTATAGGCTCTGTTCAGTTTCCTGCCTAAGCCACTAAAAAATATCGCTTCCATTCCATTATGTCTAGTACAGTAAATATTTTTTTCATCCTAACTATTATGATAAGTCAAATTGCATCTCCTAATTTTTCATGCCTAAGAAATATAGATGTCATTCTTCATTTGGTGTCTTGCCGTGGTATGTCGCCTGAGTCACCTGCGTATCACCTCGTATATGTTAACAAAAATTAGTTCTTGAGCCTTTGAAATAACCAGTACAGTAATAGATGCAAGTTATTGGAAACCAACGAGTGTTTACATTGTGTCTCAAGCGAAACACGCAGTCATTGATTCTATAAACTTTTGACTTGTGGGCATATGCTTGCTTCTTTCCTCCTCATTCCGTGATTTAAAGGCACTAGTAAAGTAAATATTCAAGCTTGACAGTCAGTATATTTGCTGCATTTTGACTAATATTGTTTGTTATCTAGTTGAATCTGAAAAAAGAATTCATCACAAAACCTATGCATTATTCATCATGCAGCATATGCCCACCAAGATCAATTCAGGACACACACTTGTTCTCCCCCCGAACACTTAATGCTACAATCTTTTCCCTTACACATAGTTTTCAGACGAGGAAGACTGGCATAGTTGACCCTATGCTGTCTATTTGGGGTCAGCAAATGTTCGTAAATGAAGATACTGACCAGTAAGTCGACACACTACACTCCACTTCAGGAAATCACATCTTGCCAATGCACCCCCTAAAAAAACTTAATGTCTAACTGGTAAAGAAAACAGAATTCTACAACCAACATATAAAAGAATGACTAAATATTAATAAAAAGGGCAAATCACTGCACATGAACTATTTTAATTGAAGTAATGAAATGGTCATTCGAACTTAATCTATATGGTTCTTGCCAGTATTATAAAGATGTGGGTTTCTGAGGACACAGGCTGTGCATGCTTATAAAGGTCTTGTGGATGGGCTTTAATCCTAAATATGGTCTCTTCAATCAAGATTCCCTTGGGACTGGAACCTTTATGGTGATCTGGAAGATGGTGGTCAGATCTAGGAGATTATGGCAATGGGATTATAGATTTGAATTTCACATTTAAGATTCTGTATCATTTACTGTAAATGTAAAAGCAGTAATATCCATGTTAAAAACTAATCAGGGAGGGCCTATGAGATTTGTTGCAGTTAATTACAGTACAAGACCATTACTCATTTCCTGTAACTTCTCTCATTAGTTGATGTAGTATTTATAAAAGTGGTACTGTAATTACTAGGGGTAAGGGCATATTCAGGGATATGCTAGCCCAATGCCAGCAGAGCTGTGGAACCAGTCAGTTGGTCCTTGCCAGGTGCACCACCAGTGACGACCATCTTTAAGATAACACTTGACCTCTAAAATATGCTAAAAACGAGAATCCCAGTTTCATGTCTCGCCAAACCATTATCTGGTAGGCCGAATGAGATGAAAGATCTGGCCACTGCTTCTTCCAGCGTTGCACGTTGCACTGTCTTGCACTTCTTCGAGTTTGCTTGTATGTTTTGCCATAGCGGTATAGTGAGACTGTGATTAGCTTTGTAAAAAATAATTGATTCTGGTGGCATTGCCGATGTTTATATTTTTTGGTGCAACTCTTAAGATTGACCAATGACCACCACCACCACCACCACCACCACTTGCACATTTCAGTATGTAGTACACAGCACCTCATTCCAGGACAAGTGACCCAATAAAACTTTGAAATCTGCTCCCTGTTCTCAGATGTGAAATGTTTTTATATCGCATAAGATTGTTTTAAGTCAGGCTAGGTTAGAATGAGAGTTTCCGGCCTACAACACCCTCGAGCATCAAAATTTATTGCCATCTGAGAGGATATAAGGAGTACCCCCGCCCCTTTGCCCTCCCCTGTTGGTGCACTTGTCTTGAAATGACATGTACTATTTGTTATATAAACATTCTTTGAGATTACTGCACCTGGATGCATTTTCATTCATTCTCTCACTTCTACTTTGCCATATTTTTTCTTCTATACTCTATAAGAAATTTTGCCTTCATGTTCCATTTTTCTTGATATGCATTGTCAGGAGGAGAAAGGTGCCTATCAGAAGGTAAAGGTTCTCTTGATACACCTTGCATTCTTGTGTCGTAGTTTAATGCAGTTCTCCCGCAGTGCAGCCACAGCCCAGAGTAGTTTAATGCAGTTCTCCTGCAGTGTGGCCACAGCCAAAGAGTAGTACAATGCAGTTTTCCTGCAGTGTGGCCTAAGATTTTGTTTTGAATGCCATTAAACATTATTTGATAGTCATAGAGAATTAAAAATTGTGATGTACTCTTCAAACGTTTCTCCCCTCTCTCTCTTCTTCCCCCCCCCCCCTTTGTTTTTTAAATATGGAATATGGTATGATAAACTTCTGCAACATCCCTCCAACTATTAATAAAATAATATATATATATATATATATATATATATATATATATATATATATATATATATATATATATATATATATATATATATATATATATATATAATATAAATATAAATAACATAATATACAGTTGACGATCATGAAACACTGATCATTTGTATGCGGAAAATCCACAGAAATGGGTAAGGGAGATGAACATTTCGGCCAATCAAGCGGCTGTCAACACCAGACTGAGTAAAAGAAACAAAGGGAGGGTACAGGCCAACAACTAGAACCTGACCACCCATCTCCAGGGAAAGAATTACCCAGAAACAGTTATAGATTAGCTTAGAATAGCCAAAAGGATTAAGCAGTCAGAGAATAAGTATGAAAGATTAAAGAAAAAGCCTCACTGAACACACACAATATATGAATATAATATTTGTTGGGTTATCCTTTTGACTATTCTAAGCTAATCTATACCTGTTTCTGGGTAATTCTTTCCCAGGGGATGGGTGGTCAGGTTCTAGTTGTTGGCCTGTACCCTCCCTTTGTTTCTCTTATTCAGTCTGGTGTTGACAACGGCTTTGATTGGCTAAAATGTTCATCTCACTTTCCCATTTGTATGTGGATTTTCCGCATATATATATATATATATATATATATATATATATATATATATATATATATATATATATATATATATATATATATATATATATATATATATATATATATATATATATATATATATATATATATATATATATTATTATATATTATTATATATATTATATATATATATATATATATATATATATATATATATATATATATTACATATATATATATATATATATATATATATATATATATATATATATATATATATATATATATATATATATATATATATATATATATATATATATATATATATATATATATATATATATATATATATATATATATATATATATATATATATATATATATATATATATATATATATATATATATATATATATATATATATATATATATATATATATATATATATATATGTCGTACCTAGTAGCCAGAACTCACTTTTTGGCCTACTATTCAAGGCCCGATTTGCCTAATAAGCCAAGTTTTCCTGAATTAATATATTTTTCCAATTTTTTTCTTATGAAATGATAAAGCTACCCATTTCATTATGTATGAGGTCAATTTTTTTTTATTGGAGTTAAAATTAACGTAGATATATGACCGAACCTAACCAACCCTACCTAACCTAACCTAACCTATCTTTATAGGTTAGGTTTGGTTAGGTAGCCGAAAAAGTTAGGTTAGGTTAGGTTAGGTAGGTTAGGTAGTCGAAAAACAATTAATTCATGAAAACTTGGCTTACTAGGCAAATTTGGCCTTGCATAGTAGGCTGAGAAGTGAGTTCTGGCTACTAGGTACGACATATATATATATATATATGTCGTACCTAGTAGCCAGAACGCACTTCTCGGCCTACTATGCAAGGCCCGATTTGCCTAATAAGCCAAGTTTTCCTGAATTAATATATTTTCTCTAATTTTTTTCTTATGAAATGATAAAGCTACCCATTTCATTATGTATGAGGTCAATTTTTTTTCATTGGAGTTAAAATTAATGTAGATATATGACCGAACCTAACCAACCCTACCTAACCTAACATAACCTATCTTTATAGGTTAGGTTAGGTTAGGTAGCCGAAAAAGTTAGGTTAGGTTAGGTAGTCGAAAAACAATTAATTCATGAAAACTTGGCTTATTAGGCAAATCGGGCCTTGCATAGTAGGCCGAGAAGTGCATTCTGGCTACTAGGTACGACATATATATATATATATATATATATATATATATATATATATATATATATATATATATATATATATATATATATATATATATATATATATATATATATACATATATATATGTCGTACCTAGTAGCCAGAACTCACTTTTTGGCCTACTATTCAAGGCCCGATTTGCCTAATAAGCCAAGTTTTCCTGAATTAATATATTTTTTCTAATTTTTTTCTTATGAAATGATAAAGCTACCCATTTCATTATGTATGAGGTCAATTTTCTTTTATTGGAGTTAAAATTAACGTAGATATATGACCGAACCTAACCAACCCTACCTAACCTAACCTAACCTATCTTTATAGGTTAGGTTTGGTTAGGTAGCCGAAAAAGTTAGGTTAGGTTAGGTTAGGTAGGTTAGGTAGTCGAAAAACAATTAATTCATGAAAACTTGGCTTATTAGGCAAATCGGGCCTTGAATAGTAGGCCAAAAAGTGAGTTCTGGCTACTAGGTACGACATATATATATATATATATATATATATATATATATATATATATATATATATATATATATATACATATATATATATGTCGTACCTAATAGCCAGAACGCACTTCTCAGCCTACTATTCAAGGGCCGATTTGCCTAATAAGCCAAGTTTTCATGAATTAATGTTTTTTCATCTACCTAACCTACCTAACCTAACCTAACCTAGCTTTTTTTGGCTACCTAACCTAACCTTACCTATAAATATAGGTTAGGTTAGGTTAGGTAGGGTTGGTTAGGTTCGGTCATATATCTACGTTAATTTTAACTCCAATAAAAAAATATTGACCTCATACATAGAGAAAAGGGTTGCTTTATCATTTCATAAGAAAAAAAATATAGTAAATATATAATTCAGGAAAACTTGGCTTATTAGGCAAATCGGGCCTTGAATAGTAGGCTGAGAAGTGAGTTCTGGCTACTAGGTACGACATATATATATATATATATACATATATATATATATATATATATATATACATATATATATATATATATATATATATATATATATGTCGTACCTAATAGCCAGAACGCACTTCTCAGCCTACTATTCAAGGCCCGATTTGCCTAATAAGCCAAGTTTTCATGAATTAATGTTTTTTCGTCTACCTAACCTACCTAACCTAACCTAACCTAGCTTTTTTTGGCTACCTAACCTAACCTTACCTATAAATATTGGTTAGGTTAGGTTAGGTAGGGTTGGTTAGGTTCGGTCATATATCTACGTTAATTTTAACTCAAATAAAAAAAAATTGACCTCATACATAGAGAAAAGGGTTGCTTTATCATTTCATAAGAAAAAAATTATAGTAAATATATTAATTCAGGAAAACTTGGCTTATTAGGCAAATCGGGCCTTGAATAGTAGGCTGAGAAGTGAGTTCTGGCTACTAGGTACGACATATATATATATATATATATATATGTCGTACCTAATAGCCAGAACGCACTTCTCAGCCTACTATTCAAGGCCCGATTTGCCTAATAAGCCAAGTTTTCATGAATTAATGTTTTTTCGTCTACCTAACCTACCTAACCTAACCTAACCTAGCTTTTTTTGGCTACCTAACCTAACCTTACCTATAAATATAGGTTAGGTTAGGTTAGGTAGGGTTTGTTAGGTTTGGTCATATATCTACGTTAATTTTAACTCCAATAAAAAAAATTGACCTCATACATAGAGAAAAGGGTTGCTTTATCATTTCATAAGAAAAAAATTATAGTAAATATATTAATTCAGGAAAACTTGGCTTATTAGGCAAATCGGGCCTTGAATAGTAGGCTGAGAAGTGAGTTCTGGCTACTAGGTACGACATATACATATATATATATATATATATATATATATATATATATATATATATATATATATATATATATATGTCGTACCTAGTAGCCAGAACTCACTTCTAAGCCTACTATTCAAGGCCCGATTTGCCTAATAAGCCAAGTTTTCCTGAATTAATATATTTACTATAATTTTTTTCTTATGAAATGATAAAGCAACCCTTTTCTCTATGTATAAGGTCAATTTTTTTTTTTGGAGTTAAAATTAACGTAGATATATGACCGAACCTAACCAACCCTACCTAACCTAACCTAACCTATATTTATAGGTAAGGTTAGGTTAGGTAGCCAAAAAAAGCTAGGTTAGGTTAGGTTAGGTAGGTTAGGTAGACGAAAAAACATTAATTCATGAAAACTTGGCTTATTAGGCAAATCGGGCCTTGAATAGTAGGCTGAGAAGTGCGTTCTGGCTATTAGGTACGACATATATATATATATATATATATATATATATATATATATATATATATATATATATGTCGTACCTAGTAGCCAGAATGCACTTCTCGGCCTACTATGCAAGGCCCGATTTGCCTAATAAGCCAAGTTTTCATGAATTAATTGTTTTTCGACTACCTAACCTAACCTAACTTTTTCGGCTACCTAACCTAACCTAACCTATAAAGATAGGTTATGTTAGGTTAGGTAGGGTTGGTTAGGTTCGGTCATATATCTACATTAATTTTAACTCCAATGAAAAAAAATTGACCTCATGCATAATGAAATGGGTAGCTTTATCATTTCATAAGAAAAAAATTAGAGAAAATATATTAATTCAGGAAAACTTGGCTTATTAGGCAAATCGGGCCTTGAATAGTAGGCCAAAAAGTGAGTTCTGGCTACTAGGTACGACATATATATATATATATATATATATATATATATATATATATATATATATATATATATATATATATATAAATAATATGATGTACCTAGTAGCCAGAATGCAGTACTAGGCCTACTGTGCAAGGCCGGATTTGCCTAATAAGCCAAGTTTTCCTGAATTTGTATATTTTTTTATTTTTTTTTCTTATGGAATGATAAAGATATCCATTTCATTTTGTATGAGTTAAGTTCTTTTAATTTGAGTTAAAATTAATGTAGATATTTGACCAAACCTAACCAACCCTACCTAACCTAACTTAACCTAACCCAAACTAACTTAACTAAGTCAATAATTTATGTTC